CTTCTAGGTCATCAGGGGTTCCAGGACCCTGCTCTGAGCCCCTGCTTTATGCTGGGAGCTGGAGGTGCTGGACTGGGCTCCTCATGTGAGGAGCCCCAGGTCATCAGCTCCTACTGAGCAGAGCTTGTTCCTGGGAGGTGAACAACACCTGAAAAGGAGACTGGACTCTACGGGAGGCCTTCTTTCAATTCAGCCCGAAAGGATGGTCTTCCCAAAGCCCTCGGCACAGCATCTCATTTAGCTGAAAAAAGTCGACAATTGTCCCAAGGGACAGCAAGTCACACTGTTGATCACCAGGACTGACACACGTGTGTGTTCCGAGCTGTAACTGCGGATGTGACTACTTACTGTAGTATGTGTCACTGTTGGCTCACCCCTCTAAGCCACCGAGAAAAGGCTTTAGAGCACGCAGACTAGTCAGGGTCGGTGTTGGTGTAGAAGCGTCTTTACAAGACACTGCTTTAGTACAGCTTTTGTTATTTGGGGGAATGCAGCAGAGTAAATTTGTTTTCAGCGCTCCAGCACGGTTTTCCTCATTAAGCCTTGGCACTGGGTTCTACCTGGCTTACTCTGAAAAGACAAAGGAGTGGTGGTCCTCTCCTCCGGGCTGGTATGTGAGGTTGAGCAAGACCTACATGGGCACCACTGAGGGCCTGAGCCAGGTGCTGCTGTCCCTGCAGCACAGGGGATGCCTTGGGCAGGGGTCTGCATCAGGACACACCCAGAAATCGGGCTGGGCCTGTGGGTGTGGGTTGTGGTCTGGGATTCTCCCCTGCCTGGGAACCAACGACATTAAGGTGCTTCAGGATTTTCACCTTTGCTTATTTTCCTGGAACCTTCAGCACAAGTGAGGGTTTTTTGTTTTTTTTTTTTTCCTAAAGGGCTGGGATTGTGATGGTACTCAGGCGATGGTGGTGAAGAGGATCACGCTTGCAACCATCCCTGCTTTAAGTCAGCTGTGGAACTGGGCCATATTCTAAGACTTCATCTGTCACCCAGGGCTAATCACACCCACCGCTGTGAGTGCTCAAGACTCAGTGACTAGGGAGACAGTGGGGAGCGAGATCCATTAGAGTCAGGGAACACTGGGCACCCCACATGGTGGGGCAGAAGGAGGTACCAGACGCATACCAGGGATTGGACGAGGGCAGGGTGCATAAAAATGGTGTTGGGTACAGAGCCCAGGTATGTAGATCCTCAGCCAGGTCCACACACACAGCCTCGGCCTATCTCAAGACTAAGAAAGCAGTAGTTTAAGGCCTGGCTTGTCCAGCTTCTAGTCACATGATAAGGGTTTGCCACGTTGCCTCTCAAAGCCTGTCTTTAAAATGAGGTTAAAAGTATCTGTCACCTGGTCAGGGTATTTATTAAATGAGATCATGGATGTGAGATCTACAAAGCACCATTATGACTCTCTAGGCCTCAGTTTCTCCAACTGTGAAAGGGGTAGAAGAGCTGTGTTTCCTTCCTTCAAAGGAGTAGACCACGTGTGGGAAGGGCTGTGAGAAGAGACAGCACAGTGTGATGATTTGGCTTCAGGGGCAGTCTCCTTGGCAGGGGGAGAGCGGCTACTGGCCTCGCACTCTGGGTCAGCATGCCGGCGAGAGCAGAAGCAGCCACAGCACTGGCTTCCGGAGCCAGCCAGCTGCCTCTTTGGGAGCCTGCAGTGTGCGTTGCCCCTTGACCACCCTTACGGCTGTGTAAAGTCATTCTGAGCCCAGATGGGCAGCGGGGAGCATGGGGATCCTTGTTCAGGTAACTGCTGAGCCTGACTCTTCTCATTGGGCATAGTACTTAGGTGCTGCTATGGACTGAATGTGTCCCCACCCCCCAAGTAACATGCTACAATTCTAACCCTTGAGATGATAGTGTTTGGAGGTAAAGCCATTGGGAGATCATGAAACGGAGCCCTCGTGAATGGAGCTAGTGCCCTTATGAAAGGAACCCCAGGGAACTCTTACCCAATTTCTGCCATGTGAGGACACAGTGAGAAGACAGCAGGTTGCAACCTGGAAGGTTCTCATTAGAACTAGACTGTGCCGGTACTCTCATTTTGGACTTGCAGGATTGGGAAAAATAAATTCCTTTTATCTATAAACCACCCAGTTGGTAGCACTTTGTTATAGCAGTCTGAACAGACTAAGATATTTAATACTTTTGAGGGCTCACAAAATGTTTTCTTTTCTCTCTTTTTTTTGTTTTTGTTTTTGAGATAGGGTCTCACTATGTAGCTCAGGCTGGGCTTGAATTCATTATATAGTTCAGGCTGCCCTTGAACTCATGGTGATCCTCCTGCTTCAGTCTCCTGAATGCTGGGACTACAGGTGTACCCCACCATGCCCAGCCAAAATATTTTCTTTTAAAATCAGAATTTAAGCTGGTTGTGGTGGTATGCACCTGTAATACCAACACTTGGGAGGCTGATGCAGGAGGATTGCTGTGAGTTTGAGGCCAGCCTATGCTACACAGTGAGTTCAAGTTCAGCCTGCACTACATAGCAAGACTCTATCTCAAAAAAAAAAAAAAAAAAAAAAGAACCAAAACCAAAAACTCCTAGGTTGCAGAAGATCTGTTAATAAATAATATTAATGTGTTTGTCTTTATAACATAGTTGTAAAATCTAATTATTTTTAGAGGAAAGGACCTATGATGGCAAAAGTGCATAGAATCCCTGAAGTCAGAATGCAGCCCTTGGTCCATATTTTATGCCACACTCAAGCAGCTTACTGCAGGCCCTCAGCCACTACAAATATGCTAACTGCTCCCATTTCAACGTAGAGGGCAAACCCCAGCACACCAAGTTGAGGAATGTCGCAACATGGCCTGCTGTTCCTAGATGTGAACTCTGCAAGACTTGTGACAGTTCTCATGGTCATTATTGCACTATGTTCCTGGAGAGGTGGGTGGTGGATCTCAACCATCTTTTCTCTTGCATTCCATCTAAGGTACGACATGTACCCACCAGAAGAAGATGCCTGCCTACGGCCAGAATTTGCAAATTTTTGGTGTATGTGAGTCTTGTTTGAGCAAGTACCTTGATAAAATTTCTAGGGAAGTGCAAATCTGGCCCCAAGCTTGAAGTGTCCTCCTGAAGTCTCCCTCACTGTCTACCTACATGAGAACCACTGGCCTGGAGGAACTGAAATCTGCCAGGACACACAGTACATATTATGATGGATCCTTTTATACAACAGCACCAAACTGCACCTTTCTCTTCCTGCCCACCTTGCTTGATAGCTGTTTCCTCACGGCCTTGGTTCCTACAGGCACAGAGGGAGCCTGTGCGGCCTGCCCAGGCTGTCTCAGCAGGCAGTGGGCTACTCTTTTGTCTTCTGGTGTGACTGACTGGAAATGAGGACAGAATGGCTAGTGGAAAGGGCACTGGGCTCTCACATTCAGCTCTGGCTTTCACAGTGTGGCCTTTGGTTCATCTGTGTAAGGGGAATCAAAATCACTGTCTAGGCTTGGGATGTAGCTCAGTGGTGGCGCACTTGCCTAGGTTTCCACCTCCAGCACTGCAGAAAACAAAAACAAAGAAAATACTTGTCTGCCTGCTTCACTGGACCAACTGAGACAGTCTATGGGAAACTCAAGCTATGGGGGGAATTGGGGAAATAATATCATTAACACTAAAGTGTGACCACTCCTTCCCTTCCTACTGCTCCATTCCTTGCCCACCATTTTTGCTGTAGTACCTTAAAGGCCTGTACAACTCGTGTGTGTGTGTGTGTGTGTGTGTGTGTGTGTGTGTCCGTGCGTGCAGGCATTTGTATGTGTATGTGTGATCTAGCCAATTCATCCAAAATAAAATTTCCTGCTCCTCCTTTCCTATAGACCCAGCACATACGTAACTCTCCCAAGATGACAGAGAACACACATTAGCAGAGATGGTGGTGAAATGCAGGATTGAAATATTTATTTTTTGGAGGACAGGTTTCATAGGAACAATTTAGAACCTTCAGAAACTGGCCTAAGCCATTCAGAACAATCTCTCCCTTAGGTGAAAGGATATACTTTCAGAGATCATTTCTATAGTACGTTACCAGAGAAGTTTCTCTGATCATGTAGAGTACCTTAGGTGAAGTATTGCTAGGACTCCCTCTTCCCACCCTCTACCTTAACTTCAAACACTTTTCTTTTTGACCTTCAATTTCTGCTGCTACTCTTCTGCATTTTGTTGAAAAAATGGCTTGACAAGCGTCTCAACTGTTTCATTAAAATGTTATTTCCTTCTACCCAATCTGTGTACTCTTTGCTGTCCCCATGCAGTGTCACAGAGGGGTGTGACTCAGTAACAGCAGAGGGGGTGTGATTCTCAGCAGCCAGGACAGGAGAGGATGAAGGGTGGATCCTGTGGCTGCCGCCTGCGTAGCTGAAAGACAGGGCTAGTTCCAGCCAGCAAGAATCCCAGCGAGATTCTGTTACCAGGAGGCAGTGTCCCTACTGCCTTGCCATGGGGGACTGTGCACAGGAGGGACATGTCATCACAGGAAAATAAATCACTGAGCCCTTCTGGGATTCTTGGATGAAAGACCCATTTGATCAACTGGGACAGGACACCCTCTTGCTACCAACTTTTGGAAGCTGCCAGGCCCAAGTCTCAGCCTTCTTCAAGTGAGTCATTGCCAAATGCCCCAGGGACATTTCCTGGGAAGGGGCAGGTAGTGGCGGTGGAGAGGTTGAATATGCAGCAAACCCAGGCTGTATTATGAAAGCCATTTTTTCTAAGAAATTCTAGCACCTTGGATAGGCCACAGTGCCCAGCTTTTGAGGGCAGAACTCTCTTTCACCCATGTTTTCCTGGACCAACTTCTTCACTGTCACCAGGCCCCAGAGCCTGCCCTTACTCCCCACAGTGGCCACCCCGTGGGGACTCTTCTCATTAGCTCATCGCCTGGAAAGAGCTCCTCAGAGGCCCCTGCCAGCCCCGCTGAGTGAGGCACAAAGCCTTTGGGAAATGGCTTCTTTGTTGAACACACAAAGGACACAGATTCAGGGCATTTTTGGTTTTTGGTATTGTTTATTTTTTTAAACCCACTTGTAGTTTGGGTTCAGCTGGAAAGCAGGACATACCAACGGGGGGAAGGTATCGGCGTGAGCAGGGTTCCGCTGCAGCTTCGGTGGGAGGTAGTCCTGCTGTCCGGCTACCAGCTGGCTCGGGTGAGGCCGCTGGACCTTCCATGCAAGCGTCCTGAGCGGAGGAGAGTCGTTTTCTCTGACCCGCATCCTTGAGGCCCAGCCAGAGGTTTCCCAACAGAGTGTCTGGCAGCTGAGGGACACCATGCCACAGCAGGCCCGAGCGTCTGTGCGACAAGGAACACTGGCGGCTTCTGATGCCAGATAGCGGCCTGGGACCGGGCTTCCTGGAGGCGGCTGTCTGGGGTGGCCCCAGGGGGCTGCTCCTCTTGGCAGCCAAGCCATCTGGGCCTCAGCCTCTGCAGCTGCCCAGGGCGTGACCAGTGGTACAGTTCCCACAATCCCACCCCTCCGAGAAAATAAAATAAAATAAAAATTAGAATAAATACCGACTGGGTCAACATTTACATTTACACAGAGGGACAGGACAATCCCCAAACTATAAAGGTTTACAGACTGGTTAAGGAAAGACAAACAGACAAAGCTGGGTTTGGGGGTGCACCATCATCCCATGGAGGATGATGGAGCTCCCAGCTTCATCCAAGGGAGCCTGGGAGCCCTTCTGGGACTGTGCACCAGAGCTCAGGCACAGCCACCAGGCCTTGGGGGGCAGGACAATGGCAGGTGGGCTGCCTGAGAGGAAAACAGAGACTAACTCATCCTGACAGGCAGGGGGACAAGAAGGATCAACATGAGACGGTTGCAGTGTGCCTCTTCCATGCCCCAAGGTCTGCTGCCGAGTGGGGATACAACATTTAGCGGGCTTTTCTTTCAAAGCAGAGGGGGCTCTGGTACAGAGAAGAGGCAGGGTTCTGTGGGGCACCCACTTCTGCCCCCCTCCTTCCTGTCTGAGAGTCTGCCATGGGAAGTTGCCCCAGACTCTTAAATTTTAGGCTTTGCTGTTTCTTTAAAAAAAAATTTTTTTTAAATGTTTTCCTTCCATGTCTGAAAAAGTAGCAGCAACCTGCATTTAGAAAAACAGCCAAAAGTGTTATTCAGATGGGCCAGGAAGTGCTTTCAAGCAGTGGAACAAATTAGGCAAACTGTACGTCTGGAGCCACTGTGACACAACACGTAATTAAAAATATATTTATATATAATACATATTTATACCTCACATCTTCACACTAGTCCTCACGGCCAAAGAGAGGCTGGCCCTGAGGCAAGACCCCCAACAAACAGGCCATTGGGAGGGAGGCACATCTGACCCTTGGTGCCCACAATGTTCTCTGTTTCTTACTTTCACAGGGGACACCAGCCCCTCCACACAGAATTTGGGAGCCCTCTTCTTAGAGTCTGCCTGTGAGCCCAATGAGGGGGCTAGGAGACCCAACTCTCAGGCCTCTGTCTTCTGGGCACCCTGCTTTATTCTCTGCTGAAGCATACACATGCTTGTGTATGTGTGCATGCGTGCACACGCGCGCGCGCGCGCGCACACACACACACACACACACACACACCCCACCTAAGGGAAGAGGGGCCCTTTTAAGCATAGGTGTGGCCCTCTGCAGCTGCAGAGAGCAGCTGCCTGGCCAGGGCTGCCTGACTCCATGAGAGCATGATTTCCCCAGTGCCCTCTCTGAGCATCCGAACATCAGCCCCACTCTTCCTTCAAGGCCTCCTGTGGGGTTTCTGGTGTCCCCGGGCCCCAGGCTGGGCCTAAGGGCTGGTGCAGGAGAGAAAGCAGTAAGAAGCAGCTTGAGAAAGCTTGGGAAGAAAGAGTCGGGGAGGAAGAAGGCAGGGGCCAGGGCCAGCCAGGGGCAGTGTGGGCCTCTTGGCAGAGGCCATTGACCTATTTAAAGGGAAACTGTGCCCTCCCACACCTTGTCCCAACTAGGCTTTTTCTAGCGGGGCGGGGGGGGGGGATGGGGACTGGCACAGGCTCCCATCCTAGGGCTGGAAGGCCAGTTTTAGTGGGGGAAAGCCAGGCAGAATGGGAAACTTCTTTCTAGACTCAGAAACGATCTGCAGAAACTTTCCCCACCCTTCAACTCCCAGCTAGTCTGATTTGGATCAGGAGGCCATAAGAGGTTTCCAGTGTGACCTAGGGTATAACCAACCTCAATAAAGGACCAAATCAGGAAGCTGCTGGGTTCTCATGGCATTTTCTGGGGACTCATCAAAGCATGGGCTCTACCCCCCCATGTGGGCTGTGTGGACACTGGTCATGATCCTGATACCAGCATCCCAGAGCTTGACCTCACTTTCCTTTCACAGAAGGGCCTGCTCCCCAGGCCAAGGCCTTCCAAAAAACCCAGCCTTATTTTCAGCTGGGAAAGCCTACCTGACTGTCCTTCTTACGACTCAGTGCTTTCTCCCTTTCCTAACAGCTGGAAGGGCTTCTGGATCCTGCCTAGGATAAGGCTTGGGCAGTGACATAGCCCATGACTTAGACAAATCCTAGGGAGCCAGGCAGCTCCCACTCCATCTTTCTCCTCACTAGGCACTTAGGACAAGACTTTCATTTTGGTTTTAGTTTGCCAGCCTTGTTCTGGGCCCTGTTTGCCACAAGACCCCCATGGCTAGGACCAGGTCTAATGCAGTCCAGCAACCTCAGTACCAGGTCCTTTGAGAGACAGAAACTGGAGAGCAGAGTCGCTGCAGACCAGCGGGGGAGGAACACAGAATTCCAGCGGGGGACCCCCGCCGGGGCAGAAGTTTCCAATTACCCTAATTGGCTACTGGCAAGCTGTCTATGGCTAGAATCCTTCCAGAGGGGGCCGGGTTTGATCTCCTATTAATCAGGGGGTCCTTGCAGGGCTGACTGTGTGATCACATGGAGGATATTTTCATTGAGAGAAGAGACTTCAAAGCAACCAACTTTTGAAAAATAAAACACAATAAAAGAAAAGGGTGCAAGCTGAGTTGCAAGCTCCAGTTCCCCTCCTCGCTGCCAGCCCCCTAGGCCTGGGCTGGGGGCCCAAGGCTGGAGGAACTGAGGTTGGGAGGGATGGGTGTGAAGGTTAGAGAAAAGCGCCTCTCCCTAGCTCCACTGTGGCTGACAAAGGCCGTCAATTACTGGCGGCTGGTGGGGACCGTGCCTGCCTTTGTCCTCCCGGACATCTGCTACATGTTGCCTGCTGCCAGTTGGCGACTGTGGCTGACAGCACGCAGGGAACAATGGAAGCCCGTCTCGACCCACTTTTTCAGCCTTCTGAGATCCTTTCTGACCCAAGCAGTGCCCCAGTGTGGGAGGCTGGTGTTGAGGCTGGCGGGGCGGGGGTGCGGGGGTGAGGGGGGCTCTGAGGAGTTGCAGAGACAAGATCTCTGCTTGAGGTGGATGGGTTGGATGGTAGGGGGCAGAGAGGGGTGAGAACGAGGGAGGTTGCAGACCGGGGCCACCATGGAAAAGAAACATGCTTCCCTTACTGGTGGGAGCCGCCACATGCTCAGGCTGAGGTGGGGGTGTTTATGTGCAGGGCGGGGCACTCTTCTCAGGGATTTGATCCCTTTCCTGGCTGGCTCCAGATTGGCCACTGACTCTGCCTGCCTTCCTGCCCGTTTCTTTCTCCCACCAGGGCCACCCCTGTCCTCCCGCCTGTCCATCTGGCTCTGCGCACCAGGGCCCCAGCTGCCCGCGGGCTGCCCGCCAGGCCCCCTGGCTGTCAGGCTGTCAGTTTCTGGATGGTTCTGTTGTAGTACTGCGTGATAGGGGGCGTCAGAGGGTTCCAGCTGTTGGCGTGGAGCTCGATGACCTCTAGGAGCAGTGACCGGGTCAGCATGGACTCCGAGGGGCACAGCATCTTATCTCGAGCGCTGGCTAGCAGCTCCGTCATCATCTCAGGCAGCTGTTCTTCCAGAAGTCGCCCTGTGCTCTGTAGCTGCAGGTGGAGAAGCGGGGGCTGATTAGGACAAGACTTGGGTGCTACAGTGTTACCTGACCACCTTCATTAGGTGGGCTGGGGGCCGGGACAAGAAACAGCTGGACTGTGCTAGTGACATGCAGGCCCAGATGGGAAAATCACCTGTGTAGTCCCACACTGAATAACCATCTATCAGCAGGAATGAGAGGAGTCAATATTGTCTGCTGCCCAGGCCCCAAAGAGCCCTCACCAGGAACATATCCTTTGTCCATTTCACCCAAGAACTTCTCCTCCTACAGGGAGCCTTCCCTGACTACACTCACACCCTCAAGCAGCCCCAGTGATCTGCTCCCTTGGGCGATCAGGTGGCTCTGTGTTAACTTCCCCTTGTGGGGGATCTCTCTGGAAATGAGCTTGGTCAGTATTACCTGCATGTGCCTGTGTGAGGTGAAACCTGAGAGCAGGGATGAGGTCTCCTATTTCTCCCCTTCTCTCCAGCCCCCCCAAACAACGTCTGCCCTTGCTTGTGATGAGGGGAGGAGAGAAATATAAACTTGGGCAGAAGGCCAGCTGGATGATCTTGAGAGACCTCATAATCTTGAGAAACTCTTTGAAAGAAGACGCTCCAATTTTTCTGGGCCAGTGAACTACTGGCCAGTAGCTCCCTTGGTCCCTATTGTTGTCCTACCTCTAGCTGTTGTCACCCCCTCCCGCCCCCCTGCCAATCAAATCTGCCTTCTTCACAAAGTCTTCCTTGACCTCCTGGGCCCACCCTGACATCTCTCCCCTGACTTGCAAGGATGTGCGTGCTGTACTGACACACACACTCCACATAGCCTTCCACCCGGTGTGTGTGTTTGGGACCTGTCCCTAACCAGCCTGGAAGCTGGCTGAGGGTAGGGACCATTCTTCTCCAGCCCTCATCTCCTCGAGCAACGTGTTGTACTGCTGAGTCCAACAAATGAAACAAATGACCATCTCGCAGACCAAGGCTTCTGTCCAGGCTCCTGGCACTTCTATTCTCTGAGCTCCTCCTTTACAGCTTGGGAGCCACCTATACGGCATACTCAGTGCTACCAGGCTGAGGCCCCAAGCTGGATGCCCCCTCTTCCCTGCGCTCCACTTTGAGTGACTCTGAGCTGTTTGCAAGGCAAACATATGCTCCAGGGACCAGCCAGAGCCAGTCTGTAACAGCAGACCCCAGAGGAAGAATGTCAGTGAACACTGGCTACCCCCTGGGAATGGAGGTAGCACCTAGCTCCTGAGAGTCATCATCAGCACTTACCTGGTGTAGGGTGGTCGGCTCTGGGTGCAGCATTCCATGCCCACTCAAGAAGCTACCCCCTGCCAGCCCCACTCAACAAACATTTCCTCTGGATCTTTAGATGCTCCAGTGACCCCAGCACCCCCAGTTGTGCAGTGTGAGGGACGCATGGTTCTGAGCCCCACTGCTTACCTCCATAGAGCAGCAAAGGACAGCATCTTCCTTCACATCCTGAGACTGCAAGAGCTGTGGAAAGGGGCAGAGAGGAAATCAGTTATGGTGGCCGGGCTGTCCTGCCTCGCTCTGGTCACTCCAGACCCAGGCCTGATGTTTGTCCTGTGACAAACATGTCTGAGGGACAGGCTGGAGCGAGAGCCCATGCAGATCAGAAGGAAAATGTGCCCAGAAGTGATTTCTGCTTGCGTTGGGCAGCCAGAGGGCACTGTACAGTATTGAGTCCTGGTGCAAGTAGAAGCCCTCACAGAGAAGGGCTGTGGGGGGTCTGAAGGTGGTGGCAGGTATGCTGAGTGCAGTGAACTTAAGGATTTCCACTTGGAGAGCCTGTGTGTGAAAAAGCTTAGCCACTGGGCAGCACCCCTGAGCCCAGCCAGGGGAGGATGTCCAGTAAGCAAGAATTCTTCTCCAGTAGTCCAACACTGCAATCTTTCAAAACCAAGGCAATGAGTTTACGGATTTACCCAGAGACCATAGTGCTTTCTAACCAGGGCCTAACCAGGCTGCTCAGCGCTTGGCCTGGTCACATACCCAACCAGGGTTCCCTCTACCTGCCTGGTGCATTCTATTTCTTTCTAAATTGAGATATAATTCATAAAACTGAGATATTATAACATAAACTTCACCTTTTTAAAGTGTAAAATTCAGTGGGCTTTAGGATATTCAGAGTTAGGCAACCATTACTACCCCCGAATTCCAGAACATTTTCATCACCTTTAAAAGAAATTCATACCCACTAGTGAACCCTTTTCTGGTTCACTCTAGCCCCTGGTAACACCTAGCGACAGGAAGGATCCTGTGTCTGTGGATTTTCCTATGTTGGGCATATCCTATGAAAGCAATCAGACAATATGTGGTCTTTTGCGATTAGCTGTATTCACTTAATGTTTGCCGAGTTCCTCCGTGGTGTAGCATGTACCACATTTTCAACTCAGGACTTTTGCACTCTGTTCCAGGAATTCTCAGCTAGTCCATAGCTCACCTTACCCTGTGCAGAGCTCTGGCTGAGCACACCTCATCAGAGTGGCTGCCCTGAGCAATCTGTGCAGACCTGGTCACCCTCACTCTCCTCCGACACACTATCTACCTATTTGCTTGCTGTGTGTCTCCCTCCAGAAGAAAGGAAGCTTCATGAGGGCAGGGCCTGCTTTGTGGAATGCTATCCCCAGGGTGAGTGCAGCACCTGGTGACTAGAAAGTTCTTGGAGAATATTTGTTAACAAATAGCTTCTGCAAACATACATGCATGTGGAAGTACAAGATAGTAAATTCGTACAACTCAGCTGGGTGTGGTGGCACAGACCTGTAATCCCAGCACTTTGGGATACTGAGGCAGGAGGATTGCAAGTTCAGGCCCAGCCCTCACAACTTAGCAACTTAGTCAGACCCTGTCTTAAAATTCAAAATAGAGAAAAGGGACTAAGGATGTAGCTCAGTGGGAATGCCCTGGATTCAATCCCCAGTACTGGGGTGGGGTAGAAACTCTACAGATGGCAACCTGGCAGTAATTATCAACATAGCAAGGGTACACACTCACTGATCCAGCTTCTAGAAACTTCTCCTGCCCATATACCCACACACATGCTATATGGCACAGGCAGTATCCTTAGAACAAAAGATCAAAAGTACTTTGCACATCCATTTGACATGTCTGCACAGCGGACTAAGCTGTATCACACAGCTATGCACCCCTACATATATGTGTCTGCTTCTGGACTTTTCTTGTCACTAATTCCAGGACTGCTAATCCTTCAGGACAGCCAAAGGAGGCTTTCTACAAAGCCAGCACCTAGGGGCTGCATAGGGAAGGGTCTCTCACTTGGAGGATTCAGGAAGCTAGAGAGGGGACCAGAAGGCAAGTTGTGGGAATCATTGGGGAAGGGTTCACCTTGCAGCAGACTTTATGGGCTAGCATCCAACCCAGCTCACTCTCACAGGGGGAGGTCCCGGGGATTCCAGGGTTCTGTGATTGTCTGATACAAGGTCAGAGAGAAAGGTGGGCTTGACCTCACTTAGTCCACAGGGAAGATGGGGACAAGTGCAAAGAGAGCTCTGAGGAATGTTCTGGAACTTTGTGCCATGGTAAATTTCTCTCAGATGCTTCCCCTGCTGCTTAGCAGGAAAAAAATCCTTCAAATAAAAGTTGCTAGTGGAAATCACAGAAAGGGAGAAGGTTTTGGATCTGGGGGAGGAAGTCCTGAGACAGACTGGGCAGTGGCAGGTAGGCGGGGTAGAAGAGAATGTGAGAGCTGGTGGGATGGTGGAGAGATGGGCTCGGGCTGGATGCTCAATCCAGGTTTCTCATGGTGGATCAGATGCTCCTAGGCCCTGTTCTATCCTTTTTTTGGTACTGGGAATTGGACTCACGACCTTATGCTTGCCGGGCAGATGCTTGTGCCACTGAGCTATATCCCCAGTCCTGTTGTATCCTTTGACCAGCTTTGTAGGGTCCCTAGTGCCTCCCTCGGGGGCTGGCTAATCTGAGGTTGAGGGACAAGTGAGGTAACATAATGGAAGATTCTTCAAAGAGCCTGGGTCTGACAAGGAATTCCTGCTGTGAAATGCAGGCTGTCTGTCCTCATGGACAGTGGGCCTTCAGACCTGGTTGAGAGTGCAGGGAGAGCCTTGCAAAGCCTCCTGGTGCTGTCAACAGAAATGTTGCCCTGTGAGCCAGGGTTCCCTCCTTGTTCTGGCTACTGCCCCAGGCCTCCTCCTGCCCTCAGCTCCCCTGTGCTGTGAGGCCAGGGCTTCTCCACAGGTTTGCAATCTTCCTCTTTTTCCTCTTGTCTTCCCCCCTTTTGTGAGCACACCACGTGCCCTCTGTAGGCCCACACTCTCCACAGCCATGCTTCTGGGGGCTGCTGCCACTGCTTCCTCCTTGGCAGGGCCGGGGTCCCGGATTACCAGGCAGGGGACAGACTGATCAGGCCTCTCCAGCGGGGCTGTGGGCGGGTTCTCTCCTCCAACCTTATCTCTTGGTTGGTTGTTTGGGAAAGTCTGTGCACAGCCAAAAATCACATTGTGTGGCCAGCCCCCTGCACACGGCTTGCTGGGCTTTCTCAAGGAAGCCATGGAGGGCTGAGAGTTTTGCGTTTTCCTTTTCCTTCAAAGTTGCTGGAATGCAGAGAGTATGTGAAGGGATTGGTGGCTGCAGACAATGTCCTGTCCTCCCCACAAATACAGACTTGGCCTTTCCATGCCAGCTTTTATGAGTGCACACTCAGGTCCTCGGAGCAGCACGGACAGGGGAGGGTGACTCCTTCAGCCTCCACTCCCACCCTCTGAGGGACCTTCACTACCCCAGGTCTGCTGTTCTTTGTGTATAACAAGAGACTGTTCCCCACCAACTCCCAACAGGGGCTCCCTCCCTGAACGCTGCTCAGTGCCAGGTCCTGGGCTCCTCAGAACATTCCACTGGACTTGCCCTTTGTGGACATCATCCTAAGTGCAGAACCTTTCCACTCTTCTACCCTGGCCCCAAATTCCTGTTCTGTGTCTCACATCTTCAGGGCTGTTTTCCTGCGGGGCAGATAGCTTTGGGATAAATGATCCCTGCTGCTACGACGAGGAGGCCAAGTAGCTCTCTCATTTATGAATGTTCTATTTGGGCTATTCAGAAGATAACTGCATTTTCTAACTCAAAGATGAATCTCGAAAAGCAGTGGCTACTTGAATGGACATAGTACTTGTGTACTTATACTTATAGCTGCGTGATAGACAACGGCCCAAAGGCAGAGCAACCCAAGTGTCCACCAATGGGAGAATGGATAAACAACTGGCTCATGTATACAATGAAACAGTACATAGCCTTAAAAAGGAAGGTAGTTCTGATATAGGCAGCCACATGAACGAACCTTCAAGAAGTTATGCACAAAAAGACAAATACTATATGATTCTATTTATATGAGGAACTTAGAATGAAAAGTCACATACAGAGACAGAAAGGAGATGGTGGTTGCCAGGGGCTAAGGTGAGGGGTGGGGAATTAGTGTTTTGACTGGAGAAGATGAAGACGTTCTGGAGATGGATGGTGGCTACGGCTGCTCAGCAACGAGAGAGGATGTAACATCACAGAAATGTACACTTAAAAATTGCTCAAAGGATGAATTTTATGTTCTGTGTATTTTCCCATAGTTTAAAAAAAAAAAAAATGGTTACAAAGGCAGCAGCCAGAGCAGGTACCATTTGGGAGGGCAGGGTTGTCCCTGTCCCATGACAAAGATGGAGGCCGGAGCCTGGCCGCCCTGCTGGCTGAAGGCCTGGGTTGGGGGGAGAGGCGGCCCCTGATCAGAGTCTCTGGCACAGAGAGGGATGTGGGCGGGCTGGGGCAGGCAAGCCACCCGCGCCCTTGCACAGCGAGATGTGTTTCTTGGATGAGAATCCAAGGCAATTGTGCGAGCCCACACAGTGTTTGTTCGGAAGCGAATACATTCCTGTCCTATTGTCTCTGCCGGAGACTTGTTGTGGGCACACCCATCATATCCTCCCTGGGGAGAAGCCAAGGTGCTCGACTCAACAGCAACCAGGGAGAAAGAGCATCCCAGAGTCCCTGGGGAAGGGCCATGGGGCGCGGGCATGCCGCCCAAGGCGTGCCCAGGATGGAACCAGGCTGGCTGTTGAGATGCCACCCGGCAGGAGGGAAGAGGGTGCTGATAGAAGGACCTGTGGGGCTGCCTTGCTGTGCAGGCAGGGACGAGTGTGGAGATCACAACTGCTTGCCTTTCTGGTGAAGGGTATCAACCCAAGGCCTGCTGGCCAGCTCTTACTGACCACCCATGTCCCCACACAGCACACGCTGCAGCGTCAGTAGAACAGACCCCAGGCTGCCCAAAGCGGCCATAGCAAAAGCTCAGCTTGGGACCTGCTTGCTTCAGGAGCTTCCCTCCTTTGGAGGGAGTTGTGGGGTGGGCTGGAGAACAGCAGTGAAGGAGCAGGAGTGGGAAGTTTGCACAGCATCTGTGATTGGCTGCTTTGCTGGAGAACAAGGCCCACCAGAGCACTCTGACTGGCTGG